GGTTGTAACATACTTTCGGATAATTTTTGTAATAATTTTGTTTCTTGATGATGTAATATTTAAAGTTATTTTTTTATATTGCAGTTGGACGGCATTCGGATCACACCGGATGCGGAAAATCCGATTTGCAGAACCCCATTGCGAACTGACATATATCAACTGGCTGCTCAAGCAAATATATTAAATGTACCAGGTTCGGCTGTGGAAGATCGCCAGTATCAAATTTGCATCAAAGGAGTGTGCGCGTACACTACTACATGGAAGAATTATCAGCTAAGCATTAATAAGGTTTGTAAAAAATATATTATTTTCTGGAAATCTCAAAAAAATTTTATATATTTTTGCATGTCTTTATATCGTATATGTGGTGTTAATTATTATTTAACTGTCGCAGAGAATGTCTCAATCGTATTTGTATACAATGAATGAAAATCCCGCACTGGAATGGAATAAGCTCGGGAATGGTAGTAGTCTGGATCCATACTTCTCTACATCTTCTGTATTAACAAAGTACGTAATTAACATATTCGTACAATATCGGTGTGCAGCGTTCTAATATTTTAATATAAAATTCCAGATTTGATCTCTGCTTAATTATTGCACCAGCTATCACATTTAAAGCAGACACGATAGTCTGTGGGAGCGCCGTGGAAGTGAATTGCGTTACAGATATAGAATTGACAATAAATTTAGACCAAATTAAATTGATATCAACGCTTAATAATGAATTTATAACATTATTATCTGGGAGTTTCGAGAAAATGGAGAATAAAAGTAACTTCAATAATGCAGTTCAAAGATTTCCTTCGGGATCTCAAACTCTCAAACCAATGAGTTGGTTGAAACAAACGTCAGATGATTCTGACCTAGATTTTGCAAAAGACAGTGGCGTTGATTTTGAAATGTCTAGCATGCATTCGACAGTGATTGTAAGTTTTCAATTTACGGAAGTCACATTTCATAATTTGTTTTACGATTTACTATAAAATTAATAATTTTCTTGTATCAGGGGAGATCGACAGTTGCTGAAACTATGATACTTCCACCCTTCGAATTTTTAGTAAATTGTGGAAAGATAACATTCATCCTTTATGAAGTCCAAAATATATTTCTTGATTCAGAAGACGAGGTAATAAAAAATAATTACAAAAGTTAATAGTATTACTGCTCAATCACATTATCGTTAAAAAATATTAATTATTTTCAGGATGTTTATAAAGTTGACAACGAAGATGATAATAATAATGTAAAACAACCATTACTTTATCTGATGATCAATCAACCGAATATTTATTTCTCCCAGCAACATTTATCTAAAAAAATACAAGTATAGATTAGCATTTTTGTGCAGAAAATTAATATGTTATGTAATATTTAAATATAAACTTGCAACTAATTTAATAATTGTATAATTTGTAGATATCTTGTTTCGATATAACGATAGCGTTTGGCGATACGCAAAATCTGAATACGATACCGACTGAGAGGGATTTCAAAATTTATATGATAGAAACAAAGCACGGTGATCCGCATCCAGACACGGGTATTCCACCTTCTTTTGCGACAGTGAAATCTGAAACAATTCTGGGTAGAAACCGCCAATTTTTCATTGAAATGGGACGACCGACGAAAGTGCATCTTTCTTTGTCTCGGTTTAATCAACTTTACAATATACAGAACAAGGTAATCCACAAAGTGTGTAAAATATTTGCGTGCATTTTCAACAATTTTTTCCATGTTTTAGATATTATCGTGTTTTCTCGATAATGATGTTACGCAAGTGCCTGTAGAAGAAAAAGAAACTGCGCCTGTTGATTGTCAAAATGTAACAACATCGGCAAAATCCAGAAAATTCAATGTACCTGATCTACATATAAGTACAAAGCAAATCGTAATATCCTTAAAGACTGACTCTGGCGCAGAAATTATTACCAGTTTGGCATCGTTAAATGGAAATCTGTCGACGCTGCTGAGACCAGACAGAATATATTCAAATCTATCCATAGATTCTTTCATTATATCTGCGATCTTAAATGGAAATATCAAAGTGTTATTAAATCCATGGTGTTGCAACATAACAACTTGCTTGCTCTGGGAGTCTTCGTACTGCAGCGAAATCATTCCGCAAATACAAATACAGGCAGACAGCGAAAGTTTGTATCTTGACTTCGGACCGGATCAGATAAAAATTATAAAAATGGTTATGCAAGATTGTCAGTTGCTTGTCAACGAGTTAGCTTCCTTTTCTACGAACAAAAGTAAAAATGAGAAGCAAATTGTATTGTCGACTGAACAGCATTACAAGGACGATTTGAAAGCAGGCGCGTTCCAGTTTGTCGACGGCACTGCGGATGAATTACCTTTTCCGTATCAAGTCAGTACAATTTTAGTACGCTTATAGTGACAATTATAATAAAAATAAAAGCTAAATACATTTTTTCTTACAGGTAGTATTTTTTGCTCATCCCCAGCAAGCGATGGCTTGGAGATATCCGCAACCGCGAATGTTAACAAGGATACACATATCTCCTGTCCCATTTGAAGTAAGTTAGAGCTCCTTGAAACAGAATCAATATTTGGAATTAATGAAACTTGAAAAGAAAGATTTTAATTTTTCTCGTTCTGCTTCCAAGCTACTGAGAAAATAGTATTCTTAATCTCTGAATGTTGCAGACGATGGATACCGATGGAAATTATATCGACAAAGTACCCTGCGTTCTTGAGTATTGGAGCGACAGTCACATGTCGTATCAGCGTTACGCAGATTTTTACTTATCGGAAACGGATTCCTATCGATTGGATCTACCGGACAAGGCACCGGCGCGAGCAGTGGCTTGCGTATGGCGTGTGATTATTTTATCCCACAACAAACGACCGCTTACGAAAAGCATCGTTTCCGCTCGTGCCCTCGCAGCCTGTTTGCGCATCGATTCCTACTTCAATCTCTTGATAATACCGAACGTACAGATTGCCTTAAATATCGGCGTGCTTCACGTGTCTCTGTACAATCACATCGATACGACTGTGTATAACAACTTGCCGCCGCCGCTGGACAGATACACCTTGAACGGAAGAATTCCCGAAATACAGTGTTTCATGTCCGTGGAACAAAAGGGGGCTATTTTGGTGCTTAACAAATGGATGGACGATTCCATGCTGCTTGACGTCGGCGGAACTCTGAGCGTCCACGTATTAGATTACAGCCATCTAACCATGCAGGAGGTGTTAGATTCTCTGGAAGGGAGATTCCAGCTGTCGTTATCGAACAAGGTGGACGCGTCGTTGACATGCAACCCGTTTACGCTGAAGTTGGGACCAGCGATAACTCACACCCTCGCAGTTTCCGCTCGTTTGTGGCTGGCGTCTTTCGACGAAGAGGAGAAAAACGTAATAGTTCTGACGCGCTACGTAATCGCCAACGATAGCAATGTTTCCATTCGTTTTGGCCAGAGCGGCACTGGAGACAGCATACTTCTCGAGAGCAGACAGTGTAACTTTTACTCGTGGCGGCAAATTGGTAATCAAATGATACGGATATCGATTGAGGAGAACGGCTGGCTATGGAGTCGGCCCTTTCCCGTTAACAAGGATGGCATTCAAGTGATCGAGTTCACCAATTCGGTGATCGGCGCAGCAGTTTTCGTCAACGTTACGTCACTTTCCGCCACGCAAAAACTCGTGACTTTTTCGGGCCAACTCGTGATTTCCAACCAACTAACCGACAATTTCGAAATGAGATTAGTAAAATATGAGACAGAGGTCGGCTCGAAAGTGACGGTCTCGAAGGAAGTGTATCCCATTCCCGGCAAGAGTTTTCCATCATCCATTATGCTTGAAAGTAACAAGAAGATAGCTATGCGGCTGCGCTTCACGAATTTGACGCATTTATCGTGGACCGGGGACATTCCTCTGCAGCCTAACGTGAAGTGGGGCCAGCCGTGGCTCGTAAAAGTGCCCCTGCAAGAACGCGGCCAATTCCTGAGTATCTGGGTGCGAATAGTAACGCAGATGATACAAGATAAGATGAAAGTCCTCGCCGTACTCAGTCCTCTTTATATGATCAGATCGCACTTACCGGCGCCGGCGAGAGTTCAAATAGAAACGCCGTCCCTGAAGACGTCATCGACCACCACGGTGAACGGTCGCGGTGAATGCCAACAATTATACTGTCCCGGTACATTCGAGCATTTTCACCAGCTGACGTTTCAACTGAGGTCCAGCGGCTCCGCGTCGGATCCTTACGTGCCGCTTTCGTACAGCTCCGTCGATCAGCGAAAGTTTTTCAGACGGCCCGTGGTTGAGGACATCGACAAGATTCTGCGAGATCTCAAGGATCGAAAGGACGAGGTGAAGTGGCCCTTCCAGGGAGACGACACGGAGGAATGGATATCCGCGGAGCAGCCGCAGACGCATGTACAAGTAAAATATCAGGACGCCGGACTGGTCTCCAGCACTTTGATGCTGGAGCTGCAGCCTTGGTGCTTCGTGATGAACTCGCTGGGATGTCACATCTCGTTGGTGTCAGAAAATATAGAGCTTTGCCAAGTCCCTCACTACGGCATAGCCACGCCGCCCAAGCTGGAGGGCGCCTTCCACATCGGCGTCGGAATCGGCGATACTTACTACATGTCGCGAATGCTGCAGTTGGCGCGACCCGAGCGGGGGCAGAGCCTCTACATGTGTCAAATCTACGGCCACATACCGGTGGAAGGGAACATCAAGACGTTCGTGGATTGCGGCACCAGCGCGTCCATCCTGAGCATCGGTTCCTCCATGCACGAAGACATGCGTCTGGTTCGGATCACGAGCAGCTACGTGATCGTCAATCTGACGTCTCAGGAGTTGTGCGTGGCCACACTGGCGGTGCACGAGGCGACGAAGGACCTGCGGCTGCCACACGATCTCACACCCTGCAGCCTGAACATCTTACCGTCCGAAGACCAGAAGCAAGGCACGCCGATCGTGCAGTGGTACACGTTGTACACAGACAGCAACGTTGAGCCGCTCGTGCTGTACGTATCTCTCAGCCTCGGGCACAAGTGGTCCTGTCCGATCAGAGTGGACCAAGCTATGAGCCGCATGTCAGTCGCGATTCCGAACGGCTCTTCCTCCATGCCCGTCATCGTGACAACGCAAGAGGAGAAAGGCACCACGTTCATCGCGATACACAACGATGATCATCCGCAATTGTTAATCGAGAACGCCTGCGGCTTCAAGATCCTACTGGGACAAGCCGACGAAAACGGCGGCGAAATTTTACCGGACACCGCTCACTTCACGTGGGTGTGCGAGGTCGACAGTGGAGCGACGTTCCATTATTCTCTTCCCTGCGTCAGCAACAGACTACCCGACACTGCCGTTCCAAGCGCTTCGAATATCCTATTGTTCTCCACCGTGCCGAACGATCAGGTGGAAAAAAGAACGAATTTAAAATGGTCGAGAGGCGTAAATCTGTCCGCGTTGTCGTCCACGCCGATCGATCAGTATCTGCGTCTGCCCTCGTACGGCGATGTGAAGCTTATCATGCAGAGTCGCTGTTACACCACTCACATCAGCATCGTGCCCATCTCTCAAATTGAAATATCCGCTCAGGATATTAGAAGCAGATTGCTGCGAAAGAAAAATGCGGTGCAAGACGACGCGACATACGGCAATCTTTCTACATCAAGAAGACCGGAGGACGACAAACTGTTATCATATGTACAAAGTTCGAGCAGCTCCACATCGCTAACCAGCTTCTTCTCAGCGCAAGACGATCTTTTGCCGACGGAATCGGTGGCTGCCTCGTCATCGAATTCAAAACCATTAATGTCGAAAATGATGGACGCAAAAGCTTGCGCTGACGAGGATCGATTGAAATCTGCTAACGAAGCTAATTCGTCTAATCCCAAAGAAGGCTCTGTAATGGTTTATCTGCGCGCGTGCACTATCCTTATTCTTCAGGATATCAATGAAAATGCGCAAAGAATCGAAGTCGCGAGTCTGTCTATGGCGGACTTGGTCGTTACCGTTAATTCAAGAGCCAGATTCATCAATATGTGTTGCTACATAGGGGACTTGCAATTAGATAATCAATTGTTCGATCAGGGAGGTTTCGACTTTCCCGTAGTGTTGATCAGTCAAAACCCCTTGCCAAACCGAGAAGTGGTGTTTTACAGCAATAACTGTTTAATGGCAAATATGGAAAAGATTAAACAAGATTCCTTGATAGCCATCGAATATGTCTGGGAAATAAACGGAAGTATGATAAGTATGTATTTTATATATGAAATATATCTCTCTGACGATAAAAGAAAATAAATATCTGTATAATAACGTTTCAAGCAAATAAGTGTGTTACATAATCCATGAATTAAATTTTCTTTCTTCGCAGTATCGAAGGAATATCGCATGAAAATTGCGCCCATTAGCGCGTACATCGAGGACACGTATATAACGCAGTTGCTGGATTACGCAACTTCAATGATATCACCGCGTTTGGTGCTGGGCGACAATCCCAAAAAGATGCAAACGGTGGCTGTGTCGAATGCAGTCTGCATACCGGATTACATTATGATCGATTCGAGAATCTTAAGTCAGCCGTTGCGATTGCAAAATTTCGTGATAGAACCGCTATCTATTTTGTTGAGCGTTCACACCTCTGTGCGGCTCTACGTCGCTTTGGACCATTCTCCGTTGTATTTCGGCACCTTTGAGAGGAAAAACTTATTGACCACTCCTTACCGACTTGGCAATGCGCTCACCATGCATTATCTGTCAGGCGCTATATTTGGAGCAGGTTGGCTATACATCGATATACCAATATTTACTTAATATAGAAGCGAATAACGAAATTTTGTGCTTGTTTCACGCGCCACAGGCTGGGTGGTTGGATCACTAGAAATACTTGGATCGCCAGGAGGTTTAGCGCAAGCGCTTGGATCTGGCCTCCGAGATTTCGTTTCGCTGCCATTTCAAGGTTTGCTGCAAGGCCCGTGGGGTTTCATCGTTGGAATTACGCATGGATCAGCCAGTTTGATGAAACATGTCACAGCGGGTATAGAAATTAATATCTCCCTCATAATTCTGTGTGCCTGAAGATAGATTATTGTCTTGACTCTCAATGGTATCCAGGTACAGTAAATTCCGTAACGAAACTGGCGTCCAGCGTCGCGCGAAATTTGGATCGCTTAACGTTGGACGAGGAACATCTGCAGCGACAAGAAGAGTCGCGCAGAATGCGTCCTCAAGGCATGGCGCAAGGGCTCTATCAAGGCTTGACTGGTCTTGGAATGAGTCTACTTGGTAATTATCTCTAATTATGAGAAATATCGCTCTCCTCGTCTATGTGAAATGTAATTTTCAATTGTTTATTAGCGGCTGTGGCTGGCCTGGCGCATCATCCTCTGCAACAAGTGTGGTCGGGTGAAGCGACGACCAAGAGTTTGGTCACCGGAGTCGGACTCGGTTTAGTCGGCGTCGTTACGAAACCACTGAGCGGTGCTGCGGAGCTAGTCGCTCTTACTGGTCAAGGGCTGCTACAGGGAGCTGGATGGAACTCGTTACCTGCAGTAAATTCAAGCAATTGTTTTTCAATTCGTACAATTTTGTGTTCGACCATTGTATTAGAAGCTAATTTTTATATATCTTCACAGCCACGTCAGAGGCCAATTGTGCAATATACTAGTGGCAATAATAGCACATCCGTGCGATACACTTGGCGTTTGTTACCTCTACTCGATCACAGTCACGACAGTATTCTTCATGTAACCAGCGCGGACTACGTCATTCATCAGGGCAGTAATCGCGCGGTAACACTTGTCCTAACGCGACAAGCTTTGTTGCTCGTTAACATGGCAGAGGACAGTGTAGAACGGATATTTTCGCTGAAAGAACTGACAAGCGTCGATCATATTACGGAATCGACGATGCTGTGCTTGTATTGTCCGCCAGCCGCGATACAATCCAGCAGACCGTTATCACCAGTTGAACATGAGGTAAAATAATAAATTTACAAATATATAATATAGTGAAATATAAATCGCAAATTTAACATATAAACTGTTTCTCTTTCAGATGAACCAAGAAATGAGAGCACGAGTTGAAGAGTATGTGCGGACAAGCAGCACTGGCTTAGCTAGTGTGTCGACGAACAGCGACAGACAGTCTGATACCTTCGAGACAGCATCCCCACATCCAGAACACACGCTTACATTTTACGTTTGCCCGGATACCCGTAATTACTTACTTTCGCTATTCAACATCGCCAAACGACAAAATCAGGGTTCCGGTTTTGCAGTTTTGTAATAGATATTTCTGACTGATTGTAATTAAAAGTGTTCTGACTGAAAAAAATATTTCAAAATTGAATCAAACGCAACCGAAATCAATGTGTTTTCTGGATATTGATATATTGGTACTTTTTGTGGGAGTTTTATGTATTTCGAGCTTGTAAAGTTGTGTATGTGCACAAGCAGTATTATGACATACATTTAAAAAATTCCAAAAAATAATCCTCCCCCACAAGAATAATTAATATATACTAAAATCTTTGAATGTCCACTTCTATTTTTATCGAGTCACATGTTGCACAATTGACGCTTTTGTTCTATGTAAGAAACATCTTACGAATCTATAATATATAAATTTATCATAAATCCGTCATATAAAAACTAATTAAGTCATGTAATTTATATAATATAAAGTATTTTATGTAATGCGGCTTATTAATTCTTACGCAAGCGTACAAATTACAAAACGTACATAAATTTTATTTATGAAAAATAATATAATGTCGTATATATATATATATGAGAAATAGAAAGAAATTTTTATAAACATTATTTACACATATAATTGTCAACTTTCCGTAAGTGTAAGTTGTGTTGTATGTGCCAAAACATTGTAAGCAAGTCTATCATCATTGGAATTGTTATAAATATATATATATTATTCTGATTTAGTATATTACAATACACTAAATACAATATATTTTTTGTCGATAAGAAATTTGACAAGTAAGAATTGAATTAAATAAAAAAACTGAATTATTCTTATTTATATGTGTAAAATATTTCATAATTTTACTGCTATCTATTTGAAATACTATCATGAATTCGTTCAACGTCACTCGATTTGTATGAAAGCCCACAAGATTTACATTGATTTTCAATAGATAATAACACTTTTCTACATATTACATGATTGCACGGAAGTCTATAAAAAATACTATTATTACAACATTTACAGCTGCTAGATACATGCAATTCTACTTTTTCAGGCGTGTTGAAACGTTTCATGTTCGATAATAGGGTTCTGACATCGTTATCCAAAGAATTATCAAAATTATCGGCCACCAGCACTTCTGATTTATCATTTTTATTACTATGAGAATTATTATGCACTGACTTGGAGAAATTTAGATTCTTTACGATCTGTTTCGATCTTTTACTAGCATTGGCAGTAGATTGTTTACGACATGTGACAACTGCTGGCAGTTGATGACAAAATTTCTTTGCTCCTTGTGAATCATTATCTATCGCTTGTTTGCATGTATTCAATTGAGTATCTTCCACAGTTCTCTTTAATGAGTTATTACTTAACATAGACTTTGATACTTCCATTATTCTTCTGTCTCCTGCCAAAGCTGAACTTGAATCACGACCCAAGACTCTCGGTATACTTTTTATCTCATTCATATTACTATTGTCCAATAAAAATTTGTCAATCCGTGATTTTAATGCAGTTGCCATGACTGGTTTACGATGCTCATTAAATGGAATGCAAGTGAATGGATCTGATAATGGTCTACCCCAAATTGCTTCATTCTGCCCATGTTTCTCCAATGTAGTTTGGTCTATCACTTTGCCACTAGGCAATGTAATTGGTTGAGTCATCAATTCCCATGTAATAGCATCCAAGAAACTTTCAGGAACTTCAAAGATTGCTTGGTCCTCTTGTCTGCATACATGTACAAAATATTTTTATTAATTAAGAAAGTAAATATATATTTATACAAGAAATTACATATAATTATACATACCTGTTACTTGTGACATTTGCAGAAGTAATATCAGTTTTACGTTCAACAACTGGCAATGCTAATGCAGTCTGATGTTTGACCCACAAAGAATATGCACTCGCTGCAACATCTCTTCCACAACGTGGTGATACTGTACCCCAAACTTCAATCTTTCCTAGTGCTGGTACTGAATTTTCCGTTTTGCATATCGTTATACGTAAAACTTGAGCGTACGCAGTTAAATGTTGCATAGAGATTTTGATATATCGTTTTAAGAAATTTGCTGGTGTAGAGATCTTTTCAGCATCAATATCAGCTGGATAAAATAGTAATCCAGTATCACAGGGATTCAAAAATCCACTGGACAATAATGTATATGAAGTATTTTTATCACTAGTATTTTTACAATAAAGCTGAAACCCTGAAGACTTTTGTGATCCAACAGACGGCCAAATCAATATATGATTTATCCATATGTTGCATAGAAATGTGATATCTATGTGAATTGGTGGTTTGATGCAAGAGTAGGCCAGAAACCCTTTGCAAGAATTGTCTATTAAGTTTGTCACTTCGTATCCTTCTGTGCTAATAGTGCTGCATTTAATTTCTGGACGTAAACGAGGATCACAAAAATTCAAAAGCATTTCCTGTTTATTTCTAGAAATATTAAATGTTAATGTAAAAACATGTTTTACACACAATATCGATTATTACAAAAATTTAGTAACACTACCATACACTTGTCAGTTAAGATGTTACAAACTTTTCTCTTTTCTTTTTTTATGGCTACTTGTCTATGGTTAAGGCCGATTTCCAAGCGCATGCGCGAAAAAAAGCGTTTCGTTTAATAAACACTGCCGAGAGATGTCTCAGGTTTCAGAAGCTTGCTTCTTGCTATGTAGTGAAGTGTAGTAGACGATCTGTTGTATTCTATCCGACTGACCGCGTGGTTGTCATTGAATCACCCACGCGTCCATCTGATAATATTCGATATACGCATATTGTAAAACGCTAATTCTACGCAAATTTTACAAGGAAATATAGTTTATCCTGGTTAGTTTTTATGTTTATTCTAAAATATGCAGTGTAAATAGTAAAATCTGTAGTCTAAATAGTAAAATGTTCACGTTGTATAGTAACGCTATTACCACGTGGAATTGATTAAAGAAGTTAAAAAAAATAAACAAGAATAAATTGTATAGGACAATGGAGGTGGCGACTCAGATGGAGATTGATAACACAACAAACGATGAGACCATAAATGTGCCGGAAATAAGTTATGAAGAAAAATTACAGCATGTAAACGCCATTGCTAAACCTATGGCGCCGAAAAAGTTAACGAAAAAAATTTATAAATGCATGAAGAAAGGTAAATTATTTGTTACTTAATAATATTAGATTGAATAATAAGTAATTTCGAATTATCTAATAGATAATATCACTGTTTTTTATGCAGCAGCTTAAAAAATTATAACAGCAAAATTTGATCATTGAATAAATAAATATGTAATTTATATGTTGATAAAACTGTGTATTGCCTGCCAAAAAACTAGACAGATTTATTTGAAGAATCCAAAATTACTTATGCAACCTAGTGATTTTTCTAGAATATTTAGTATATTTATCAATATAAATATATGTATATATCTAATATGTATGGATTAATATACATTACGCAATTTATTACAGCTTCAAAACATAAAACACATATTCGAAATGGCCTGAAAGATGTACAAAAGCACTTACGTAAAGGAGAAAAAGGGTAAGTCTTGGACAGATATTGAATCATATGAAAATACTATTGAATCATGTCATAGCATATTAAAATACTATTAATGTTTCTTATTTTAGCATGGTTGTATTTGCGGGAGATGTTAATCCTGTAGAAATAATGTGCCACCTGCCAATAGTATGTGAGGACAAGGGTATTCCTTATTGTTTCACCCCTTCCAGATTGGACATCGGGACTGCATTGGGTGTGAAACGAGGCAGTCTTATGGTCCTCATAAAAGAACACCCAGATTATAAAGAATTATATGATGAAATTAAAACAACTATTACAACGCTTGCCACACCTTTGTAAGATTGCATTTAAGTAGTATTATGATTTTTGTGTATATAATCGAACAATTATATATTTAGTCATTATAATATATATATATATATATATATAT